GAAAGATAAACTATTATCGGGCCTGTGTGACCCCAGGAATTGCTTTATAAGCTTATTCCCAATATTTATTTCTGTGGACATGGGTAGTTTATTCTCATGCATGCACAGATTGGTACTCATAAAGAGTAAAAGGCACTCATTTACAGATCTCCAGGGTTCCTTCTGTGTGCAGCTCCTTACTCTCTGGTACTCTGCTTTGTGAATTCTGGCAATCTTGGCCTCCCAAACTCTAATCTCTGTCTCTTCACCTTGAGAAGAGAGTGTTTAGGTTCCTTTTTGCTACAGCCTAGGAACTGCCCCAGGAAGAAATCTAGATAGCTATAAGAATCACATAATTTGTTACCTATTTTCCAGTGCTTAAAAACCATTATGTCTACATTTTGTCCACTTTCTTGTTGTTTAAGTTGGGAGGGTCCATGTTACTCCATCATAAACAGCAGAAGCTCTGATTCCATAAATTTTGTATGTAGTCTCATTGTCAATATTATCTTACATTGTTATCTTTGTTTTTCTTATCGTACAATTTTCTAATAACAAATTTTGTTTATTGCACACTATCACTTATTTCACCAATTAAATAATTACCATCTAAAGGCAATTATGAAAAACAGAAACATAAGTTCTATCCTGAAATTTCATTTTTACCTAAACCATTTATTCTCAAGTTTTCTTAGACTCCAAATACATACATTCATCAACCTTAAAAAAACAAACAAAATTTCTACTCATTAAGTTCTTTCCCACAGTTTGGAACTGGGATAGACCTAGGAGTGGTTATAGTGAATAAACAATAAAAAAGTTATTCTCAGTCTTAAATAATCAGCATAACATTCTTCTCTCTATTACGTGTATCTTAACTTCTTAGCACACTAGCTGCCTGGCATTGCTGTTACAGAAAACAACATTTCTTGAAAAAATCCTGATTGTATATGTTTCAGAATACAATAGTTTTTATTTTTCTTTGAATATAATAGAATATTTTGGTATAGTATATTGAGGTTGAAAGAATAGTAGGCATTATAAGCTATGAGAATTTCTCAAATATGCTGTGAGTATAGCCTCTAACATTTGCAATAAAGGCCATTATTTAACTATTTAACAAATGCAATATTGCAAAACACCCCCATTCTTTTAAATTCTTAGGTTGTAAAAATTAAGAGCCATATCTATGTAGTATTTGTCATATAGCATCAAGTACAATACAACACACAATTAAGTGCTCAGTAGTGCTTTTTGATGAGCAGGATAATAATGACTTTCTAAAAAAGGTCTATCAATCTCAATGGAATAGAGAAAGTGATGGGTGTTTGAACGCTAATATCACACAAATTTCTGAACTACGAGAGACACCTAAACACTGTCCACCTTCAGGCCTTTAAAAATATTATTTATTTTAGTTTGAATTTATTTTATCTCTTCTTTGTTTTTCCTTCACAGAATTGCACACTTTTAGTCTGAGAAAAAAGGAAATGCATGTTTATCTCACTCTATTATTAACCTTTCATACTGTGTGTTAAAATTTTGGTCTATCTTTTGCCTTTTTTTGTTGGAATTATTCAGATAAACTCAGTTTGCCTTTTGTTAGATTCTTACACCATAAGATTATACTATTTCTTTAATATTTTCATGAACTAATATGCAATAACCAAACCCAGTTATTCATAAGAAGGCATACCAAGAATGTTAAAATTATAATACAATTTAACTGAGTTTGTGCATATTAGAACATGAAACATTAAATGTATTCATTTTTTGTGAAATTTTAGCAGTACTCCTTCCCTGCCCCAACATTTGTTTCCTTAGTCCTATGTACAAGCATCTATATAGCAGACTGAAGATACAGCATACTGGCCAAGCTCACAGAATCTGGAGCCAAAAACACAAGGTGTGTGAGTAAATTTAATACTTCTCTGCCTCAGTTTCCTCAACTGTGTAAAATAAGGCTACTCACAACACTTACTTCATAGAATTAGGAAGACTAAATGTTAAAATAATATTATCCACCGCATGGAACTCTGAAAATTGAAGAGCTTATAAGACTATCTCAGAGTTATTAAGCCACCAATAAATGCTAGCTATTACTGTCACTTCATCATCATAACCACTACTATCAAAAGTCTTGGAGTTCCTGGGAAGAACAGGCCTGTGTTTTATTCCCTTTTTCTACCTTTTGTGTTGAGCACAGTGACTGGAAAATAATATGAATTCAGGAATTATTTTTAGTTTATAAATTGTGTGTGTTTGTCTCTACCAACAGTGTTTAGATGGATGGAATTTTGGCTGGGGAGCCCTATCCATGTGCCTTGGTTCTCAGTAGCAGTAGAGATGATGTAAGTTACCTTTGGATCTACAAATATTGCCTACTCAAAGACTCCTGGAATATGACCTCTCAGCAAGTTGAATTTTTCTGTTGCCACTTGCTTTTCCCCCAGACTATATGCTTAATTGACAATGATTTAATGGCTATTGTCTTCAGGTGCAATGGCTTACCTACGAGGAGAGACGTCATCTCATCACAAAATAGAATACCTCCTTCTTCACTGCCCTGGGCTGCCCTTAGCTTTTCCCAGGTGCCCCAAGTCTACAACAGTAAACTCTTCCATGTTCAGGTGCTCAAAGGCTATGAAACCTTTACATTTCCCTGATAAGCATGAATATAGATAACTCCTTAATGTCTTGAATATGCTATATGGATAAGTCCCTAAGAAAACAACTTTAGGTACCTATTTTCCAAACATACCAGTTCAGAATCAGTAAAGGAAACCAGAGACTATCCATGAAGTAAACAGCTTTATTTCATAACCCATAGTGTACAGCAAGCCCAAAACTTAAAAACAGAACTTTTAAAGCTTACATCCTGCTAATATTAAATTATATTTAAATTTAGAATACCACTAAAACGATCTCTCTTTCATACCTGAATTCATGGATCATATTTTGTTTTAAACCATGAGCTACTAACAGTTTTCATAGACTATACAAAACTGTTAACTTAGATAATTCTCTGAAATTCCAGGCGTGAATTCTTAAAAGAATGCATGGCTTGCAAACTTAACTTAAAAAAAGATCCTCCTAGTTTTAAGGACTGAGAGATTTATTAGTCGACTAAACTTGTCTACTCAGTAGAAAAGAGAAAACATAGGGGAAAAAGTTGGAGCAATGCTGGATTCAAGGAGAAGAGAATGCCCATCCTAACCTCCCCCACCGCCAAAATCACTGCAGCAAGTTGTAAATGATGTATGAAATGACAAATCCCTGCCCAGTGCACAAGAAGAATATAAATACTGCTCTGTAATCACTGCAGTGGTGTGCTACTCGCTAAAATTTTCAGCTTAGGCGAACCCAGGAAAACCTCACCTCATCTGTAAATCCAAAAAAGAAATGAACCAAAATGAGATGATATTATTTTACTGTATGCAACAACCTCCTCTTTTTTCTCTTTCCCTAGCCATAAAAAAACATACTTGAATATCTAGAATACTTAGGTGTTACTAAGGCATTTGTCTAAGAAAAATTTTTAAAAAAACTTTTGAATAAGGAAATGTCAAAATCCATATATTAGATGGAGGACACTAGAAAGAACTTCCATTCTGGAGTCATCCAGACCCAGGTTTGAACCCAGGTTTTGTTTGAATCCTGTATTTGACTCTAGCTGCATGACTTCTCACGTTTTTAAAATTTCTCTGAGCTTTAGCCTTTTTCTGTGTTAAATGAAAATAATACGTTCTCCATAATTCTGATGATTAACTAAAATGACATAAAGTGTGAAGCCCATTGCCCTATTTGACACAAAGTAAGTACTTGCAAAATTTGGGTCAATATTTTCCTCCCTTTTCATGATGGAGGCATGTGTTCTGGCATGGAAGGAACGCTGCATTTTGAACTGGAAGTTCTGAGTTTGGTTTTTCACTTTTTAATTTATTAGACAATTCACTCAAACTTCCTGAATAGATATTAACAATATTTTTTCATGAAAATAGGTATGTTTTCTCCTACAAAAATAACATATAAAAATGTATAAACTGAAATGTTAAATAAGTATAAGATATTATTATAAATTAACATACCTGAATAAAAAGTATGGACATACATAAGATCCAGGTTTCTATGAATCTGTTCTTCAGAGAGGTGAAAAACTATACTTTTGTCTTATTCTACAATTACGAGAATTTTCTTTGGTCAGTTTCTTCAAGGGCATATTTACTAGAAGTGTCTCATAAAAAAAATTACACGATCTCCTTAAAATGCAGAGGTGAAGGATGCACACATTGGAAGTGGACTCCAGGACACTGATTGTACATTGAAAATCAACTGTCACTTGTCTTTTTCTGTCTCAGCTTTCTATCACACAACTAGCCGCCCTCGTTAGCTCTGGAAGTTGATATTGAGTGTCTACCCCATGCCAGACTAGCTCTCCTTTCTGCAGATAAAGGAACAAGTCACCTTTGGAAAAACTAAGGCTTAGATTCTACTGCTTTTCAAATAACTAACACATTTGGAAATTTTTAGAATCTCTCCTCAGTAAATAATGTTGTAGAGAGCAAACCGAGGCAGAGGAAGGACCCCATACAGACTGATGTAAATCCACATCAAAGTTCTGCCTTCAAATGAAGTGTCATTCCTATTCAAATGTAAAGCTTTACATGCATAAAAATTAGGTGATCACCAGAGGAAAATAAAGTGATTTTCAAAATCTCATTTAATTCACTTAATAAGACCATAAACCAAAGAAAATGAAAAATGCCAAGGAAAAGAGAAGATATATACTAACCAATAACAGGTTTCATTTCCTACTAGGAAAAAAAGAGAGTGCTCAGTAATATTTGAACAGAGAATGAGGCCAATTCATTTTGATCCTGTGGCAATACTTTGAAGCTTACTTTTTAACCTACTCTATTCTACATTTCCAGATGCTATGAAAGGCAATGTATGCAGAAAGCCAGACCGATGGGGATTTGAGTATTTCATTTTCCCAACTATAGTGATGATTTGGATCTTACTTTTTCTGAAAGCATCTTTAAAGAATTCTTCAGGCTGTCTGGAGAATGCTGGCTTGCAGAATTAAGCAGTAGGTCTGCATGGGTTGCTATAAGAGGTTGTAGTTGATTGATGTTGCTGAGCACTTCTTTTGCTTTGGCTGTGTTTTCAGGTGAATAGTAAATAAACTGGTATCCGGTACTGCAACAACAAAGATAAAAATAAGTTACACAAACAGCATAACGGATATTCAGCCCTTAATACCAGATGGCAAATGATAAACAAAACTCCAAGTATCACTCTTTCCTATTGATCAGATAAGAACTGTCCTAAGAGATTTTTAATAACGCACTAACAATTTTTATGTAAGGTGACAAAAATACTTTTTAAAACTAGGTAATCTTGTCTTTGCTAAAACACTGGGAAGATTAGTACTAATATTTGACATGATTACTGATACTAATACTTGACATGACACATATGTAATCATGTCAAGTAACAGTATTCAAAACAAATTAGTATTACTATTGATTTCTAATGAACTTGAGGCCACGTAAGCCAGTGGGAAAAGCGAGCTTTTATATTCAGGCCAATCTCAACTTAAATCCTGGCTTGTCACTAACTAGCTGGGTGACCTTCGGCAGCTTTCTTCCTCATCAGGAAACTGGTAATCATCATTCCAACGATTCTATGAGGTGTGTAACATTAGAAGTCATTCATATAAAGTGCCTAAAATTGTGCTTGGCACAGAGATAGCATTCAATAACTACTACCTAAAGTTTCCCCCCCATGTTACTAGGTGAGGGCTGTGGAGGAAGTAAATTTTAATAGCTGAGAAATGAGGAGAAAATTAATGAATGTCAAGTGGGCACATGGACAAATATATTGGATAGAAAAAGGACATTAGTAGCAGAATGCTATTTCATGGTGTTATTTTATCATGATACTTTTCTTCTTATGGTTTTCCATTTAACATACAAAGAAATCTAAAACTGATTATTAACTAAAGAATTAATAGACTTTTTTTTTTAAGAGACAGGATCTCACTCTGTCACCCAGGCTGTGGTACAGTGGTGCAAACAGAGCCTACTGCATCACCTAACTCTCAGTCTCCAGTGATTCTCCCACCTCAGCCTCTTGAGTATCTGGGACTACAAGTACAAGCCCCCACACCTGACTAAATTAAAAAAAAAAAAATTCATAGAGACCAGTCTTACTATGTTTGCACAGACTAGTCTTGAATGCCTAGCCTCGAGCAATCCTCCCCTCTTGGCCTCCCAAAGTGCTGGGATTACAGGCTTGAGAATTATTTACTTTTATAATAATCATCTAGGAACTAATCAAGCACGTTATGGGAGTAGGGATTTTTAGAGTGAAGGAATCTTTGATCCATTTCATTAGGAAAAGGCATTCCAGCAGGAAAGCTGCAAAACAGAAAAACAGTTGCTAGAAGCAAAGAAGAGGGAAGTAACGACTCGTGCATTCGCAAGATTGGTGTAAACTTGCTTACATCCCAATATACCCAAATATCAAGACATTTTTTCAAAACACTTTGCAGTCAATGTTAGGTATTTACTGAATATGTCTACTACATTTTTACCAGCTCAATTATTTAAATTCCATAATTTTATTTCTCACCTTGAAACCTCAGACACCACTAAGAAAAACTGACATCTAGGAAGCATTCTCTGTTCTATTCCTCTCACACTAGTGATTTTTCAGGGGAAAATTACCAGAATCTTTAAGAAAACAGTTTTTTTTTTTTTCAAACACATAATGAATATTCCTCCTATTTATTTACCTATTTAGTAAAAGATTAAAAGAAATGCTCTTTGAGGCTTGGGCTATTCAGAAGATTGAACAATAAGTCAATGAAGGTATCAGGTTTATGAAGGCTAAAGAAATGCACTACTAGTTTATGACCCTTACAGATATTTGCTCTCAATTTTTTACTTGTAGACTTTTAAATGTCAGAAGTGAGGGCTTCAAATAAAACATACCTTAATTTGTTATTATGTATATCTTAATGCAAGTTGAAGTAAATGAAAAATAACAATTGTGAGGAGGGAAAAGGAAACAGCAGTCCTTGCCAATTCTTTGTGTCTCTTTTTGACTTCTTGAGTGGTTAAGACAGATCTCATGCAGGAGTGTATTAAGGACTTTAGAAAAGAAATCATGAACTCAGGCTGGATATAAAGTTTAATCTGTAATAGACTTTAATAAAACAAACAGCTCCATATTATTTTTGCAAAGAAAATGATTCTCTAAAGATACAGATGTGTCACCAGAATTTAAACAACATTTGATACCCAGCAGCTCCGAGAGCAGAAAGCAGGACCTACTTACAGACCCAATGCAGAGCCATGTGGTCGCTGCTATGTGATCCCTCTTTTCAGGTCTGCTATTCTGTCATCAGAGGTTGCTTCCTGTGTCCTCTTATGGCTATTTACAGACTCCCCATGGCTTAGCCTTTGGAAAGCTAGAATACTCATGGCCTTGTGGGGTCTTCCATCTCTCTCTTCACATGACTGCTTTCTGAATGTGTCTTCTGTGGTCTCTCATACACTCACTTCTATCCATTCCATTTTACTCCTATCACTATTGCTTGCCTTCTTTACTATTATTCTTTCCCAGAAGTTCACTGTTACTGTTTTCCTGAATATTACTACTTTCATTATCAAATTCCCTGACAGTCTCTACTCCATTCTTCTCTAAATCACACATTTCTAATATGTATTCTGCACATGTTCTTTACTTATGCCCTAGTTGAATGGTGCTCAAATTTTAGCAGTCACAATGAGATTCCCTTGGGGTTGAGGATAGGCCTCAATGTTTCCTGAAAAAATGCAGATTCCTTGGCAACATCAAGAGATTCTGCTTTAGTAGGGTGTAGCATTTGTGACAAGCACCTCTGGAGATACAGATGTAGGGATGGAGCATCTTTAGAGATACCCTGTCACTGTTTTGACTGAGATCCCCTGTAAACCCTTGATCATGCTACACAAGGACTCTGATAAAAGTTCCCTCTTAAGGTATTCAAATTTTCTTAGCACCTTTTACAAGGCTACTTTTACACCCCATCTTATTCACACAAGTTGCTTTGGTTCCCTCCTCATTACCAGTGTTTGCTCTCCTAACCTTTTTCATCATTTCATCTTTTCCCTCCCAATATATTCCCTTTCCTCTCCCCAATACATTCTTCAATCATCATGATGGGACATAATCCTAACTTCTGCCTCTTTCTCCTAATTCAGTCTTCTTTGGAGCAGAGTTATGTAGCAGGCATCGGTTGAAGTCTTTTTAACGATGAACACCTCACCTAGAGAGGCTGAAAGATTCATTTTCCATAATAAAAGCCAATGCTGGTGTCCAGGATGAAAGGATGAAATAGTATGGTATGGAAAAAAATCACCACTCACAAAATAATTTTAAGTATACATAAATTTTATCTACCTATTCAGTGCCTTACTCTTTAAACATGTCATATATTTTAACAGTTATAGCTTCTTAAATGGGAAGTAATAAGTATAATTTAATTATCTAGATAAAAAGAATATAGCTAAACTCTATTTTATAGTAGTACAAAATTTAAACTGGATCCAAACACTTGAGTCAACAATCAATCAGACAACTCTGGAAGAAAGACAAAATACTTACTTGGACGAAATATTTTATAGAATATAAATAGTACTGCAAATCACAGATAATGAAAATTGAAATTAGTTTCATATTTTTTCTATAGATGAGAGAGTGAATTAAAGTGTACTATATACTTTAATATATTCATTTAAATAAGGTAATTTAATATATATAATATTATTTTCATTAGAATGCACACCCACATCCCCATCCTCACATGTTTGTGTGTGTGTATGTTGTTACTATCCATGTCATATTTTGGAGTTGTAAAAATAATATAAAGCACATAATGAAGTAACATTCACATTCATAAGCTCTAATTGCTAACCAAAGTACAATTAAAACAAGGACTTATATATCCCTGAGTGTATATTTGTGCCAGTCCCTTTTTCCTGGTCTTCCTTATTTTCCTATCCACTTGTTGGCTTGCTCCAAGACTCAGTTCTTGGAACTCTTTTATCTACATGTCCCTCCTAAGTAATCTCATGGTTCAAATACACATGTTGCACTAATGATTTCCAAATCTTCATCTCTAGCCTAGACTTTCACCCTGAACTCCAATGAAAACAAAAGCTCTCCTGCTTACAGATGCAGCTTAACATGTCCCAAACTGATCCCGAGATCTGCTCCCCGCCTTCAACACCCAGCTCCTTTGCACTCTTCCCCATCTTAGATTATGGCAGGTCCATTTCATATTATCTGTCATTCTTTAGCTCTTATCTTTCATCCAAATTTTCAGAAAGTCGTGCTTTTTCCTTCAAAATATATCCAGAATCCAACCACTTATTTCCACATTCATTGCAACCACCCCATCATTCCTACCACTAGGATTAGTGCAATAGCTCACAAACTGGTCTTCACTCCTCTGTACTTAAACTTATCTATTGCAAGATAAACAATACTCTAAGATATTGAAGTCCTTGATTTATGCTTAGGGTTTGAAGAAGGCAGGAGGCAGACAAGAAGAGAAATACAATTTATTTTCCTTAACTCCTTGACCACAAGTGCACATTGTGGGACTTGCTCTGTTACTTATCCATCCTTTCACTTTCCACTCCATTGCTACCTCCACTCCTTAATCTGTTTGCTCAACCAAGCTACTACTTTGCACAGCAGAGTCATTAAAAAAGATAGATGAGACATGATTAACAGGCAAGGAGGAAAACAAGAAAGAAAAGACAGGGAAGGTGGGGTATGAACAGAAGGGGATTGGGATTGATGACTTTAGGGGAAAATGACTTAGAGTGGTGTGTCTCTTCTCCTGTGGCAGAATTAAATGTCCAGAGGAAAAAAAAATCTAGAACATCTAGAACTATTTCCACTTATCTTTTTCTAGCTCAAACACACCCTGTAAAAAACAAAAAAACAAACAACAACAACCAAAAAAACAATGTGGTCTCTTGAATCCGGAGAACTTGAATACTCTCAGTTCTGACTGAGAAGAAAATAGTGTGGATCACAAAAGAAAATTTACACCTTAGTGCACTTAAATATACCCTTCTGGTCTCACACGGTTTAATAACGGGCTTTGTGCCTCTCTGCTTTCCCCAATGCACCCTTTC